AAACAGTATTTTAAAACGTTCATGGCGTGTGCTACTCAAAGGCAGCATTTACTACATTTTAGGTAACCTAGTTATGCAGTATTTGTAAAATAAGGCCACAGTAAATGGTTTTTATACTGTTGCGGTGACCCTGGTAGGCAAAGGCTCTCGAATAAGACTCGTTTCAAATAACTCCTCTTTCTATTTTTACAGAAAGCGTTGCCCTCAACAAACCGGTAACACGAAGCTCAGCTTATAATGCTGGTTATCTCGCCTCGCGAACAGTGGACATGAATTTCGAATCCTATTTCGTCACAAACCAGGAAGTACAACCATGGATAAGAGTCGATTTGGAAGAACTCTATTACATACACGAAGTAGTGATATGGCTAAGGCATGATTGTTGTAGCAGTACGAAACAGGATATAGCCGTGAGAGCGGGTAGGTGAGGGCATACAGTTAAGGTTACAGGATACCCTTTTTGGCGTTTTGTGGAAAATCGCTACTGCGCGCTCAAAATCAGTCTGATTTTCATCAAATTTTCACCAAATGTTAGCCAGTACATGCAAAATATGATAAAGTTGTAAAATTGACAAACAATAAAATAATGTAAGAATTATTCAGGAAAATCTTAAGTCGCGGTACCTTTACGCTTTTGAGTTATGTTCCTGCTGGTTTTAAGATATATTTATGAAAATATCATTTTTATACAGTAAAATAGTTGTTCTAAAAAATTGTGTTCGGAAATTTTTGTTTATTTCGTCATTCCGCTGATATGGCGATTTCTTTGACGACTGCAATATATTTCTGAATTGTTTGAGTGAATTGCTCTTTATTTTTAAAATATCCAAAATTAAAAAAAGCCGAACACAATTTTGAAACTGACGTCTTTAGCTATGTCCTGTGAAAATTTGAGAAAAATTCGTTAAAACCCGCAGGAGCACAACTCGTTTAAAAATCAGTAATTGCCGTAAAATTCTTCGGGAGAAAATTGAATTTGAATATTACATTTTCAATGTTTTTCTTATTGCAGCGAAATGTATTTTATTCAATAACTCTGTGAGTTTTCAACATTTTTCGTCCAAACTTGGTCAGATAGTAGAACTAGTCTAATGCTTTCATGAAAACCAATAAAAAAATTTTAGGCAAAATTAACACTCAAAGGTGTTTTGTAACCTTAATCGGATATATCAAACACATTTGATTGGTTGATTATACCTTAATGGTAGCGATAGTGGAAGTCAAATCTGAATCTCTATATTTTAACTTATGTTATCGCTGGAACCAATGTTATCGCTGTTCAAAGATCCAATGAGTTAACCAGACTTCTAAACAGTCACAATAATCTTAGCTTCAAATTTCATCACTCAGATTGAATTTTCGATCTGGAACACAGCTATTGCATTTCTTTGGGACACCCTGTTGGAACTATGGGCAATGAAAAGAAGAATTGCCTAGGCAGCTTTTTGATCCTAGAATGATCGTGGACATGTTTCTAAAATTGTGCGATACCAAGACAATCCCGCCTCAACGAGAAAAACAACAAAAGTGTCAAACCTGTAATTCGTCAAGCCAAGGTGATGGTGCTTGCTCAGAACACCTCTTCAAAGCGAATTTATATACCACAAAGCCACTGAAGCCAATGGCTTTCCAGTATTTTTCAACAGTGTAAAGACCTGTAGAAAGACGGTAAAGTTCATGGTCGTTCACAGCTCTTACATATTAGACAGCTTAAGATCTACGACGTCGACGTCAGCTAGGACGTCAGAGCTAAGCAGAGGACTGGGACTAGGATGTCGTCCTAAATAAGTAGATAGCTCAATATCAACGACGTCAAATATTTAGGGCGGCAAGCAGAAATAAATAGGTAATAGTTTTGGAAGTGTGTATGTGTCTCTCTCAATTTGCTCGTCGTCCACCAAACGTCGACAACCTCACAACAAGAGTTTTACCGTCGTGGATACAAGAGTATAGCAAACGGTAATGAATTCATGTGTCTTTTTAAAATTCATTTTCAAAAGAATGTAAATATTTATAGTTTAAATGTCGACGTCGTGAATCTTAGTGGAAGTTTATTTATTTAGGACGACGTCCCAGTCCTTTGCTTAGCCCTGACGTCCTAGCTGACGTCGACGTCGTAGATCTTAAGCTATCTATTGTTTATACACAGCTCATAGACAAACTAGCAAACTCACCATCATAACGATATCCCTCAGCTGGTGCATAAGGACTGTTTAGTTTGTAGCCTCTAACAACACGTACTGGTTTTCGATTCTCGACATTCTTGCTCAGTGCGAGGTTACCTGAAAATCACAATATTTTAGTACATTTAAAATATTTACAGTTTTGAATAGCTTCGAAAGTTTGCTCCGTGGTTATACATGGTGTGTTAAAAAAAGGTAATCCAACTTTGTATAGGTAATAGCATGGTTTCGAGTGCAATTTGGATATAACATGCACCAGTGAGTCCGAAGGACGAGTGCTATTTGAGGTCTTTGAAAAACTCACGGCCCACAAGGAGTTTTCGTAAAGATTGCGCGTGCCTTTCAAATTATTTATTTTTGATTCTAAATGTGTTATGGGAGGTTTTTCCTTTCAAGTGCAACTAATGTTTTCGATTGGGACTATTCTACAATGAAGTACTCCAAATACATATGAAGACGAAGAAGTGGCATTCATCGGGCAGAGATCAAAGCGGCGAGGCACTGCAATGGCGACATATTTGACGAAATATCGAAGGACACAATATCGAAGATAAAATACATTGCACTACTTCAAAACTTGGTTGAAATCCTCTTTAGCCATTTATCATCATGTAAAAGTACAACAACTGAATGAAAGGGGGCAAAATATGGCTGTAATCGTGTGTGTGTGTGTGTGTGTGGGGGGGGGGGGGGGGGTAAGTGACAATCCTTATGAAGTCTACATTAAGCATAGTTTTTCATCCCATGATAATTTTTTTAAGAAATAAGAAAATTTAATTTCTGCCAGGTATATTAGTTATTTTATGCATAATTAGCAGTCGACCTGGGGTGCATGGTGCATGGTCATTTTCTTATAAAATATTATACTTAGACAATTTTTTTTCTTCCAATAACCACCCCTAAAAGCAACCCATAAAGGCTGTCGCTTTTTAAAGCTTTTCGCAAGTTATACACGGTCGGCCAAAACCTGAAAATGTGCAACAAAATTTGTTTGATGGCCTTTCCCGTTACAAGCTATCAACTGCATGGCATTTTCGTAGAGTATATGCATTAACGAACAAGACTAAACATGTTGAAATATAAAACAACGATAACTCCGAAAATAAACATTTTAATCGTTCTAGCTTTCGCCTAAGATCCAGTCATCATAATGAATGATTTCTGATGATGACTGAATCTTAGTCGAAAGCTAGAACGATTAAAATGTTTATTTTCTGAGTTACCGTTGTTGGCGCGGAGCGCCGTTCCGGGTGTAAGCCCGGGGCGAGGGTACTAATTCCGCCCGGCTATTTACACCCGGGGAAAGGAAAGCATTAGCGAAGTCTAAAGTTCATCAATGATCGCGGGCGTGGGTTACTGTGCGTATTTCGGTGGGTGGTCATCTCACTGATCTCAACATATGGCTGTTTGCCAGGAGTGAAGAAGGTAATGCCATCAGAGTATACATGCAGTACCTTTCAAAATGTTGGCCGGTTGTCTATTAGCAACATAACCATAATCAGCCGATTATTTGGTATAATCGACCTCAGTAATTGGCAATTTTTGTGACCGACTTATCTCTATATCTCTATATTATATATACAACTACCACTTGCCTTTAGTTAATGTCTGATCTTTTGATTGTGGTGCGGTTCGCAAATTCTAAAGAAAGAAGCAGTCGACATCAGTTCGAGAGTTCCGCATATCACGTCCATTTTAAATAGTATGCCATAGAATGCCATAGTCAGAAGCAAAGTATAGAAGAGTTCAAATCCTGGACATGCATTATCTCAACTAATTAAGCTATCTTTTCTATAATATATGTATATCTATACATATATGAGAAATATCTATACGATATAGTCGCCCCCTGTGAAAGCAGCTACTTATTTCGTAAATTTCTGCTGAAAAAGTTTCCTTATATAAAAAAGTCCGAGATTTCCCATCTACAGTATCTGATTTCATACACTATACCTTTGGGTTGGACTTTGTCCCTTTTAGATCACGTCCTCCTATATATAAATAACGTATTAAGTTTCTCAGAATTACAAAATAATAAAAAGTAATATTAATTTTGTGCATTTTTCGTAAGTCAGAAGATATATGTTGCTACAAATACCGTTTCAACGTTAATTCTAATTCAACAATTACGAACTGAAATTTAATAAATAGGGTGTTTGCTATTGATAGCTGTCTATCCTATCTTACCATATGGCGATAACTACACAAAGTAACACAAAGTATGCACTTACTCAGGACCATAAATAATTTTATTATAACTAAAAGAAAACACGGCACTCTCACTACTGTTGCAAGTACTCATTTGTATTCGATGTGCCTGGGGAATAACATCGTAACGTGAGCTTACAAATAACAGGCAGCCGTCTCCAATAGGCAAGTCCAGCTATAGACTAAATTTTGATTTAGGCAAGAACAACACAATCCATCACCACAGCTAGACAGAGCATGTTAAAATTAGTAAAATTGCGACGTTTGGTCGCAAAATGTTGTAAAATGAGGAAAATATAGCCCTGCAAATTTGCAAATTTTGTATTACTTAGTTTGTATTACGCACGGGAAAATGCACCACTTTCGGCCCAGATGTAGTATGCATTTTCCCGTATAATACAAATACAAAATTTGCAAATTTGGCAGGGCTATATTTTCCACATTATACAACATTTCGCGGCCAAACTTTGCAATTTTACTAATTTTAACATGCTCTTTCTAGCTGTGGTGATGTGGATTTTGTTCTTCTTGCCGAGATCAAAATCTAGTCTATAGCTGGAAGCCTGGAATCATCCATTATAACCCTCCACCGTACAAATTGACCGTCCCAAATATCATCCCCATCCACAGAATAGACTGGAAGGAACCCCCCATATCATGTAACGGACACCTTATAGGACAGCTTGTTGTCCGTTGTTTGGACGTGTGCGCTCTCCAGAGATTTTCTAAGTTTTACAATACAAGCTTCTATCTAGTAATGTACATGTACGCCCGCGGGAAGTTGACAGCAGACGAGAGACGCGTATAAAGCCAATGTTGCTGCATCTTGCAACGCAATTTCCATACAGAACAATGTTATCTAAGAAATCGTCACAGAGAATGGCCGCACTCTGCCGACACTTTCTTTTCATAACCTACTCTTCAGAGACAAAAAATGAAAGAAATGGGATTAAAATTTGACGCCAGTGCGAACCGTGGCCATACACTCATAACTTTTGGGAGTATGTAGCCTGCGACTACATTCTATATGTCAAAAAGTGCGTTGCAAATTGTAGTAAAAATAGGCTCGTGCATGTAACATGCATGCCTTTAAGGGGCGGACCATTTGATTTTTGAGGGGGGGTGGAAGATTCAGTCTGTGCAAGAATTTTTTTTCCGCCCAGGCGAACGAGACAGATATTTTTTTCCTGTAAAAGTGCAGCGCAAGATATTTTTTCCCAATATATTTGGCCGCAGGATATTTTTTTTGCCTCTCATAATAACGGCTTACAGTAACTTTAGGCTTTCATATAGCTATCATCGGAAACGTAGCAGGGGTTTTCAGTCAGAGGAGGCCGAGAACTGAATCCCAAGAGGGGCCAAGGAATTTTCACTGTGCTTTATTTTATATATGGTTATGTCTTAATGTTCCCCACACTAAAGCGTGCAAGTTTACTTACAAAGAATGTATAACTGCACCAAAACCTAAAACATGCAGGGATAGAGTAGAGTACTCGAAAATGGAGGAGGGTACAGTATATGAATGACCTGTAACCTTGGGGGGTTCGGGGGCATGCTCCCCCGAGAAAATTTTAAAATTTGAACCTCGGAAATGCTATTTCCTGCGTTTTCAGCCATGGATAATTATCTTAAGCCCAGATTTTCTCAGGGGGGAGGGCAACAATTTTGCCAGGGAACACCACTGGCTACCGTATGTCAGAGGCTCCAAAGGCGGTAGAATCCCTGTGATGTTATCCACTGTTCACCCCGTGTTCTTTTAAGCAAATGTGCCTGCTCAAAAATGCAAAATCTTGCAAGCCGGTGGACACAATACTGAAGTGAAGAGCATCAGTAGAGTTACATGTAGAAAATTTTTTTTTGAGCGCTCTCTTTTGCATGATATTTTTTTTTCTCGATTGTGTGCTGCATGATTTTT